TTCAAATACATCCGACCATTCAAATACACTGTGCTTGAATGAAAACTGAGGAGGCTCTGCACTTTCACCCAAAAGTCTGCTCCAGGTTCCCAGCACGCGGCTGCTCAGGAGTCCTCCGTCTGCCTGGTCTCCACTTTCCATCATTTCTATGCATCCTTCACTCTGGTCTCATGCACTTCTCCTACCTCAGCTCTAATACTGCAAAGTCCCGTCTCTTCCAGCCACTGGTGCCCACTGCATCTTTCCTCCACTAGATGCTCAAGAGCCCAGCAGGCAAGGGTGACAAGCTCATCTTCGTGATTCTCCTCTCTGCCACCTCTGTGAGCTGCGTTAGAAGACAGACTGTGATTGACACAGAGATCCACAACTGGCCGATGTGCAGAGAACAAGAGGCTGCAGAGGGCTCATCCCTGACTAGGACACCGAGATCAAACTCCTGCCTCTCACGGCTCAGGAATTATTGCAGAAAGGGGGAAGAAAGACTGTAAGAGCCAGAGGGGGTGGGTGACCACAAGGAAACAGTTTTCCAGACAGATAGTCAGTGACACATATGAACTCACAGCAATGGTGACAGCGTGCACACGTCCCTCCTAAGCTCAAGCCAGCAAAACCCAGCACAGAGATGAGGAAGTGGGTTAGACAGCCCTGAGGAAGCACGGGCAGTGGACAGCTGCTGGGATTCCATCTGTGGTCTTTAAGGTGTGACTCCTGGTAGGCTGAGGGCTGAGGAGGCTCTAGTAGATGAACCCACACCGAAGGGCACTGGGGACACTAAATTGAGTCTACAGGCCTTTATATATATGCGTGTGTGTGCATGTGTGCACGTGCACGTGTGTGTAATGCATGGGAGGCAATAAGAGGGTGCAGATGAGGGCGGGAACTAAATAAGCTCAAAAGACATTGTATGAAATCCATAAAAATTCAATTTATAAAGAGTCAAGAAAAAAGTTAAATGAAAAAAGGACTGAACATCCAATCACAGCGCAGAGGGGGAAGCAGGATTGCCTTGAGTTCATGTGTGCACGTGCACGTGTGTGTAATGCATGGGAGGCAATAAGAGGGTGCAGATGAGGGCGGGAACTAAATAAGCTCAAAAGACATTGTATGAAATCCATAAAAATTCAATTTATAAAGAGTCAAGAAAAAAGTTAAATGAAAAAAGGACTGAACATCCAATCACAGCGCAGAGGGGGAAGCAGGATTGCCTTGAGTTCGAGGCCAGCAGGGACTACATAGTGGGACTGTCTGGAAAACAAAACAAGAACGGAAGGCAGTTTTCCACCCAATGGAGCTTAAAGGAAAGGGCTGGATAGCGATGGGGACCAAATAGGTGAGGTGATCGCTACTAATCCAACAAAACTGGATCTCCCCTTGCATTACTCAAGTTCTGATTAAGCAGGTTCCATGTTTAGAAGTATGTCATTTTGACAGTAAGTCTGACTTGGATTTCTAATTACCTCACACGTCACTTCTCAGTTGCTGCTTCCGACTTGTCAGCGTCTTTGTAACTTTTCTAGCCCCAGGGGAACATTTTATCACTATTGGCTTGAATGCAATTGAAATATTGTCTTGTACTTGATTTTACCTAAATGATAGTTCACAGATCCATTGGATTGTTGCCCAGACAACTGAACATAAAAATCAAGAAAAAGTTAAGCTAAGTGATACCGATTTCTACCTTCGAGAAACGTAAGTGAATACTTGGGTGACATAAATACTAGATGAAAAAAAAACAAACCCTGCTACAGATACATTTATGGAATTTAACAAGGTTGTTTGTTAAATGCCTCCTCCATTCTACAGGACTCCAGCACATTAAACTTCTCCAACTGGCAAGTTAATGGTCGCTGTAATGTTGTTTGTCCCCGGACAGCTGAGCTCAGCAATGCCAGCTCCACTTTTCATTTCCAAAGGAGAGTGAAAGAAACATTCCTTGGAAACATGCACATGCTTGCTACATTTCAAGAACTTTATGTCACATTTTCCTTTATAGTACTGTGACTTGTGCCATTTTTTTTAGGGTCTAAGCTTAAATATTAACAAAATGAATAATATTCACATTAGCCCAAAATTGTCCAAAGGAAATTCATGGATGTAATGGCCCATATAGAAAGACTCCCATCCCACATGTGTGCATGTTTAATCTGTGTGCAGGGCTGCTCTGGTCTGTTCTTCTATTCATTTGATTTTATTCTATTGAATTTGATTGATTTTTCAGTACAGGAGAGTGGCTGTGACTGAGGCTGCCTACTCCTTAGTATCACTGTCAGCTGGACAGCAATTGAAACATCGCCTGTGTTCATTGACTTTACCTAGATGATAGTTCACAGATCCATTGGACTGTTACCCAGACAACGGAAAACAAAATTGAGAAAATTAACGCTACCCACTTCTCCTCTCCTTTTCTTTCTCCTCCACTTCCTCTTCGCCCTCCTCGTCCTCCATCTCCAGTTCCTCCTCTTCATCCTTTTTCCTCTCCCTTCGTTTTTCTGTGACTGTTTTTACCCAGCCACTCTGTCTTTTACTTTTTTCTCTTCTTTGACACACATAAGTAGTGTTTCCAGTGGGATAAAGAACAATTATCTTACAAGCCCATCTTTTAAACGCCATAACACAGAGAACTCTATTACGTTTGTATCCTTCCAATAAGCTGTTGATAATCTCTAACCCAATGATTGAAACCTAATCCACCATTTTCAATAGCAACAGTATGAATAAATCATAATTTTGCAGCTTGTCTTCTATTAACAATTAGGTTTTCAGCTTTATTTTCCATTAATATTTTGGAAGTTAACATCTGGTTCATTTCCTAATATATGCACAGTTTTGGCTCTTGAACAGTTTCCAAACTATAAGAGCCATGGGCCAAAAGTTTGTCTACCTATTTATCTAAGTACCCATGAATCTCCATATAGAACTACAGAGAGTTAACATTTCCCCATACAAATAGTTCATGAATTGATTTGCTATCTATAGTTAGTTCAGAAATTGCTGTAGCATTTGCTTTGTCTCCATTGGAGTCCATCCATCAGCTGATATTTTGGGGTGGAAAACTGCTCTTAACACTCAAACAGCAAGTGATTAGGCCTTGTTTTACTCAGAGAACTACCACCTCGAATGAAATCAGCTCCAAATCAAAACCTTCTCATTCTTATGTTATTTCAAGGATAATCATTTTTTTAGCAGATCATCATTTTGCTTTTTCTCAGGCTAGTTGTGACTTCTATCTACTACACAAACGCACATCTTTGCAAACTTACTGTTGAGCAACATCAGAGTGTCGCCAGGGTATTCAGTAGAAAGAACAACATCTCCATTTCCCTACTCACACACACACTCCTTTGCTCCTATAAGCTTATAAAGAGAGAAATGTATCAACCTTTTCCTCTATTTACTTTCAAATATTAGTTGGGATACTGAGTCAGCAAGATTTTTCTTGAACCTACTTCTGTGTGTGTGT